TACCTACTGCAGCTTTAAATAAAAATGACCTAAACAACCTATTGTGAACCTATGATGAACATTTGAATAATTTTCTTTTGATTGGCTAATTGAGTAATCGACTTATCCCTTGTACATGAATAAACCATGAGAATAGTTCCAAGAAACATGTTCACAGTGCGCTCTGTGGATTATCCTGAATAACTGCAATATTGACAAAACCTTCAAAGTTTCAATGAGTAGCTGTTCTGGAGCTTTTGATCACTGAATCTGGGGCATCATTTCTGGAAATATCATTTTCATTTGGAGTAGCACAAACAAAAGGTTTATTTGGGATATCCCGGTGACACAGAGGTCCATCCACCTCCCTCTCCCCGCACATTCTCCTGAATTCCTCAATTAAAGGCAAAAATGCACAAAGCTTACAAAATATTTTGTATTTCAGTTAAAGGAAAACATCTCACAACCTGGACAAACCTGCACAGCTCAGTACCACTAGAGTTCAGTCACCAAACAAAAATGACTTTGTGATTCTGGTGCACTGATCCTTCCAATCAGAAGAATATTAGAATCTATTAACATAGGATTTGTTGTCAAAGAAACAAATGAATGGACATCAAGGCACTGGACACATTTGAGACAATGGCACATAGCTGGTAGGACAAACAGAGGGGAGGGGAGGGGAGGCGGGGAGGGGAGAGAAGTGGTCAAGGCCCTGTGTTATTTTACATTGAAGTGCTGGCAGTATTTGTACCATCATGTAATAGATAATAAATACCACAATGAACTGAGGAGACCTAAAAGAGCTTTCCATCACTTCCACAGAATCCTGCCCTGCATGGAGCTGCCCTGGTGGTTTCAATGGGTCTCTGTCGGCTGTCCTGGTCTACAGAGTGTGCAACCACGGACTACAGGTAGGACTGAACATGAGTCAGAACAGTGCAGGATGCCGGTAAAGGCCATAGGATAAAATGCATATATTTTAGTCATAATCTCAGCCTTAATTCACATCTGCACAAACCGTTTGTTCACCACTGGCTACCTCTCAGTTCCCTTAGGTGGCTCTTCCTGCTGCTCCGCCATCATGAAAGACGTTCCCTTTTGCTTATTCGTGCTCGGAGGATCTTTGGTGATACACACAGTCACACCGCTTTATTACCGGGACAAATAGCACACCTTAGGAGTGATATAGCTAATAAGTAAAAATCGAACAATGTTGTATCGTGACATTTTGTTTTGTCATACTATCAGTTCTCAGAAACACTACTGATTTGACTTCTAGATAGCGCTGTTGTAAACTGTAAACTGAGGGCTATGAAGTTGGATGGCCGTTAGTGGTGTGTTCTTTATACTATGACAGTTTTCCTAAAATTATTTAAAACCAAAATGAGTACATCGCAGCAATATATCACACAACACTGAATCATTAACCCCTGCAGGCGTATCGGATTCTTGCCAATACACAACCCTAGTTCTGACAGCTGGCTCCATTTTGGATTTTGGTCCCAGATACATTAAGCTCTGACAATAATATCTCTTATATAATCTCTCAAACTGATTAAATTAGAATCTCTTTTTATAATCCTCTTTTGAACTCTGCTCACTCTGACTCATTGCACTATAGTATTCATGTTCATATCTGTGATACAGTACAGGAGGCTACAGCTGTGTCAGAACATTTCACTATGCGGCCCATCTTGTTTTTTCTGGCTGCGAATGTCAATCATCAGATTCCTGCCAATACAATTCAATTCAATTTTATNNTAGACCGAACTCCTTATAACAATAATAACAATACACAGCCCTACTTGATGCTAGATTTGAATTTAATTATCAGACCGCATCCCTACTCACCATTGGTTAAACAACCTGGTGGATTCCTGTAGGCGTGATTAACAAGCAGCAAGAAAACCACTTTCATCATTCAGACTTTTCTTCTTGCCAATATTATAGTCATGGAGGCTTTGAGTCTTTCAGCCATAAAATATATTTGAATGATCTTGTGACGGGTGAAACTAGTTTTAACTAGATATTTACAAAATTTGCAACATTTAGGCTACTTGCTTGTTTCTAAAAATTGAGACTTTCTAATTTCAACCTGAATTATTTAATCATGAATTTACAAACAGGATACCAACAAATGAAAATAAGTGAATGTGTTGCTGCCAGTAGAATTTTCTTCATTTCCTTCATTTCTCTTTTCTCGCATCTTTTCCTGAATCTGTCTCCAAGCGCAGCACGGATCCAATTAAGGGAACTGAGATGTACCCAGCGTGTCATATCCTCCTTCCTGTTGAACATTTAAACTACTAAACACGTCTCTGAAGGCTGCACACGTTCCAGCCACAGTTCAGCAAAAATCTAAATTTGTGCTTCAGTTGTTCACAGGTAAATACGAGCTCTACGTACCTCTTCTGGTCACCCTCCTGTACATGTTAATTATTTATGAGTGGAAGTCAAATATTTGGTACAACAACAAGCAAAAAATCCTAAAAAGGTTAAAATTACACTTAGCTTTCTTAATAGTCTACTTCATTTTATACAAACAGTTAAAAATGGCTTTTTTTTATAAAGACAAAAGGAGTCTCGGAGGCGAGCTGCTATGCCATGCAGAGACTAAGTACCGAGGTTGGTTTGGATTTAAGCACCCGTGAGTAGAAAGAACAAACCGTGGTGGAAGTTAACACAAGCATGCAGACCCGAGCCATAACTGATCCGGATCGAATTCTCCTTCAGCCACAGCTTCATGGAGCAACGTATTTGGCTGCAGCAGTCAGTCCGGGGCAGTGCAGCCGCTCCGCACACTTATTTTGGAAAAGGGCACTAAGAAAAAGACCCAGTAGGGCCTCCAGCCTGGGGTCAAAGGGGGGAGGCGTTCTATACACATTCCCCCCCACATGAAGAGCAGAAGACACAGACACTGCAACCGAGTATCTACCCTTCTGCCTCAAGAGTGCACATTACAGACTAAAGCATCATTCCTGGAGGGGAGGAGGGGGTAAAAGGTTCAGGTGCACAGTTCGAGGGAGGAGGGTAGGGGGTCGGTTCGGAGGGGTCAGAAGGTTTCCGAGTCCTCAGAGTCGTTCTCAGTGGTTCCCTCGCTGGAGGGTCCGGAGGGGTTCCTGGGGCTGCGTGGCACCCGCGGGCCGGTGCCTGGGCCTTTACCCCCCTGGTGGGGCAGCTGCCTCAGCAGGGAGCCTGGGGAGGGAGCCCCGGAGCTGCAAGGGGAGCAGAAAGGCATCATGGTAGCCAGAATGAGAGCCAGACAGTCAGCCACCTCTCTGCTAGGAGCACAAGCCAGAGCAGGGGTCAGACCTGAGGTAGAGAGACAGAGAGAGAGAGAGACAGAGGGGGGGGGAGAGAGCTGAATTGATCAAAGCGGGGTTTGACACGCGAGGAGACATTTTGCTGTCTAATCATGACAGGGGCTCCCGGCTCCACACTGTCTCCCTGTTGCTTCCAAGCCGGCCTATCAGAGAGAGCAGCAGTGGACTTGGAGCCGTGCGAAATCCATCAAAAAAAAAAAAAAGCACATGACCACGTGTGTTTAGCATTGACATTAGCACGTTTGGTGTCACACGGGGCTCTCGGTCCCTCAGCTGGCTCAGGGTTCGGCCTGGTGGTGTACTGTAGCTCAGGTTGTGAAGCCTGTAGGCCGGGCTAGCAGTGAGGCTAGCAGCTAGCGGTGTCCAGCCACACCCAGGCGAAAGATCTCCCTCCACCTCCACCAGTCAAACAAGCCTCAACTTTCACCTCCTGTGGAATGTGGTCTGATGGGGGCACGAAGCTATTTTTAGAAACCTTTTATATGTTGTTTTTTTTTCTGTTTGCAGAGACAGTTTGAGCTGTTGGCTGTTTCATCAGGCCAGGCTGAAGGAGGTAGCTCGGAGGCTAACTAAAGCAAACATTTGGCTCCAGCACAAGCCACGGTTCGGCGATTTGGTTAGATGATTAATTGCTGTTGGGATTCTCAACCCGACATGCCGGAGCTTTCTCGTAATCATGAAGACGGATAAGAACGCCATCTTAAAGTGTCCTGGCAGAAGAATATGCTCTGTCAGGGGAACATCCAGTTCCTCTTTGTATGTAGTTGTGGTTTCTTGGGAGGGATACTGTACTCTAAAGCAATATTTATTTAGAAATGTAATTCCAGTCCACACCTGATGTGTTTTTACAGCTGCTACAAAGTTAAACAAAGGCGTAATGTACTTAAATGTTCCTCTGTGGCTTTCTGCGCTGGAGCACAAACGCCAGAAACTTGAACTAAAATCAATCGATTAGTCCATCAACAGAACATTTTGCTAACCAACAAATCATTTAAGGTATTTCTCAATCAAAAAAAAGACAAATATTCTGCTGTTACATCTTCCAGATTGTGAAGACGTGGTGCTTTTCTTTGTAGTATGTAATTGTAGACTAAATATATTCAGGTTTTTGAGCGGTAGTCGGACAAAACAAGGAATTTGATGACCCTGGACGTAGGGTAGTTGATTGTTGACCATAAAATATATAAACCAGCAGCATACGTACATGTTGTCACCCTGTACACTCAAAGATATAGTTAGTAAACAGGTGTCGACGTACGTGCATTTTGCTAACACATGAAACTCAAAACCAGTATCTCGAGTTACTTTGGTTTGCCACTTGTAGTCCGGTACATTCAGGAAGTAGAGAGGACTTCATTTTGAGTTGAAAGGGAGATTGTGATAATATATTTAGCACATCTTGGAGCTGTGTAAAGGTGGAAGGAAGTGATGGTGTATCAGTGGATTTTATTAGTTCAGGATCTAATTTGACTACATTTAAAACTGACTAGTGGGTTTGTTTTAGTTTTTTTTCACAAGGAAGTGCTGCAATAATCTGCAGTCTCTGTGTTTCTCCTCTGACCCTGCTGTTCTCACCTGTTCACTGGCAAACTACTGACACTGTGCACTCATTACTCTGTACAGATATCACACTAATCAACCAACACATCAAATCACCGCAAATCCATTCCCACTGATCTGCTCGTATAACACGAATGACAGACGAAGCTACAGTGGTAATTTGTTGACTGGTTGCGTCCCGGTGCATAAAGCTGCTGTTTTCTTTTTTCTTTTTTACTTTGCGGGTGTGGAGGTTGTTTCTTCACGGAGGGTTTCTACAAAGCCGTCACAACATCACCGCAGTTTGCAGCCATAAAGTGTCATTTTCCAGTGTGCATTACCATAGCCGGCCCCTCTCACGGGACTCCTATCGACTGCTACGTGACTTGTAATATCCTTATCAATTATCCCCACGGTTCAGCCCCCTCAACTCGTATAACCCCGCGTGTCAAATTCATCACAACTGACTCTGCGTCTGTCAGGTTGCGACGAGAGCTCCCTAACTTTTTACTGTCTCTCCTCACATACTTCAGACGACACATTACCATCCTCCCCTTTACTGAACATTCGACTTATTTTTGGTCGTGTGCTTGAGACGGTGGCACTCTAAAATAATCTGTCTTCATAAGCCTAAATTTGCTGTGCCCTCCCACCAAAGACACACGCACGCACGCACACACACACACACACACACATACACACACACACACACACACACACATAGAGG